CCCTGAACCCTGAACCCTGAACCCTGAACCCTGAACCCTGAACCCTGAACCCTGAACCCTGAACCCTGAACCCTGAACCCTGAACCCTGAACCCTGAACCCTGAACCCTGAACCCTGAACCCTGAACCCTGAACCCTGAACCCTGAACCCTGAACCCTGAACCCTGAACCCTGAACCCTGAACCCTGAACCCTGAACCCTGAACCCTAAACCCTAAACCCTCAACCCTCAACCCTCAACCCTCAACCCTAAAACCCAAAACCCTAAACCCTAAACATTCAAATCCGATCCATAGTCGGACTAGGGTTTAGGATTGATACTGCCTTCTCCATCAGAGTTCGACTCCACTAAGTCGCGTTACCCCGCTTAGTGGGGTTTGACTATGGATCTGGTCTTGTTTAGACTCCTATTAAAAGAAAACTTGTAAAAAATTGTACTACTTGCTTTTTAGCCTTGGTTTTCTTCTTTACCCCCTTCTACATCTTAACTATTACCCTTCGATCCATTTTCTCTGTCCTTGTCCAAATTGGTTCTTGATCAGTTCATTCAAATTCCTTTGTTATCGCCATTAATTTGCTTTTATGGTCTTAGTCTTTTCCAGAAAGTAACAAACCTGTGTCCTTATCTTAAAATGAAGTCACTTCCATTGAGACTCTACTCCATCATAGCACTTTTACACAACGTTATAGTAATTGTCCATTTGGATCACGCTTTTGAATTTCTCTCTATAGCCGCTGTTTTGGTCCTATTTCCTCGACATTTCAGCCCCGTATTGCTGCACGTCTTCTTCTCACAAAGACTGTAATCAATATCATACTTCGCAGTTGGTGGATTTTCGGTTGTCATTCATTTTGCAAGGTCTACTCTCAAAGTTCTTAAACAACTTTCATGGGGATCTCGTGTCTAATAATTAGCGCCTCCACATATCTACTACACATATATATGTAGCTCCTTATCAATGTCTTTCTGTTGACAATTCCATTTTTTCTGTTTTTTTTGTTTCACGTTTCTATATATTTCTTACATTTTCCACTTTTATGTTATTTATGACTATATGAGGCAACGATATAATATTTTAAGAAATTGATATATGATTTAGAAACATTAATTAAAAATCGATTAGAGAGGCTATGTTCATTGTTTGGGTTATATATTTTTGTTCTTGTGGACTTACTATACTCTGTACAGTCCGGAAACTAGTTTTGTCTCTTTCCATAACGAGTTGCCTTTTTTAAAGTGGAGTTGTTGTTTCATATGCAACCATAAAATTCAGGGACTCAATCACATCAATTGAAAATAGAAATACAAATAGAACACACGTCTCGCAAGTAAAATTAGGATTCCCAAATACATGAACTCTCAGAATTGGTTAAAGAAAAAATAAGTGCAGAGACAACAAATACAGCGAACATAAGAAGATGCAGCGGCACGCGGTCGACGTTCCCGGTGGACAAGCCGCCACCAGCGGAGGGAATTGTCTTGGAACCACCTCTAACTCCTGTTTACCAATGTGCAAGGGGAATAATTTAATTAACTAAAAATCTAATTGTTGCTTGGTTTGGTGATAAGAGGAGTACGTACCTGAACGAGCACCCGGCGATGAGGTTGGGGTTAGTGTCACATCTGGGGTATTTTCCGTCGGTGAAGGTGCGGGAGGCGGTGCTGCTGGACCAGTGGCGGCTAATTCACAAACAATGTTATGAGTGAAACAATATTATAATGCATATGATATAAATATATAGTTAGGTCATAGGTGGGATATATACCGTTGCACTGTGTGAGGGGAGGCGTCTGAATGTTGCGGGCATGAGGCATTGGGGAGCTGCAAGGCCTGTGTGCGGTTAATGTTAAGGCCGATGTTGGGAATCGGACTGTTGACGGCTGAGCAGATGCATTGCGGCGAAGATTTGATGACAGAGTCGAGCTGAGAACAGCAAGGCTGTGAGGGAGTGGTTGAGTTTCCGGTGATGTAGCTGAGGCGCGGAGAGAGAGTGGACGCATGACCCACTCGGCTGTGCTTTTGTTACGCCCCCTAGAGCTACCACAAGGGCTACAAATGTGATTGCGTAGTTTCTTCTATACCCCATAATTTGAATTTTATTGTTCAACTTTTGTGTTTTTGCTTTGGTTTAGTTATAGGAAGAATTGATCAGAAAAATGTCAAAGAGACAGGTCTGGTAGGATGACCTACTTTACATGGTTTATATGATTCTAAATGCACCCCCAATATAAACAACGCCACGTAGACATGCAGCAATATACTTTTTTCAGAGTATATTGAAGATTGTAATTACTTAAAGTTACAAAATTACTAGGAGTATACCAAACTCAGCTACTTTCTCTTTTTATTTGGTTTCTCTTTGTTAATGAAATAAAAAGAAAATTGTGTTGATAAAGAGATTGAGAGAAAGGATATTAGTTGGAAGTTGTTAAACTCCACTCCTCCACAAAAGAGGCTATATATTTCATCCAACACAACCAAGCAAATTTGAGTAACTAACACTTTTTCACATAACGAAAACAGTGGTATCATTAACGAAAGCTATATGTCTGCTTTTTACTCTTAGATGAAAATCTGTCACGCTTTAGAATAAAAGCTTGGAACTAGCTAGGCTCATGAGATGTAGCTGATGATTGACGTTAACTGAAACGACCAACCGCACTTTAGATAAATCCATCTTCAGGGGAAATATGTCTATAATTGAGTTTCTAAATTCCTTATACACTTGATTAACAACAAAAACACTTGCTAGCTCATACGTGTATAAATTCCTTTTACACTTGATTACATATTCGTGTTCAGATGAGAAGTAGGTCATGTCTAAACCGTTTAGCTGTATCGAGGTATTCGTAACTTTTGACACAATGGGTTATCTTTATACTGTTTCACTTTCGTTAGGATTTGTATAGTTCTCACCAGCTTCATATAATATCTACGATTTTTTTTCCCCCTTTCTTGTAATGAAGATCTCATCAAAAGAGATAAAGTTTGAGACATATAGCATTACTCTTCGATAGAAAGTCTACTATAGAGTAGGAACTTCCTACAAAAAGAATGGTGAAAATCAGTGCTTCTATAGTCTCAATTTCACCTACACGAATTCCATGTCAGCTTTCTTCAACTATCTGCCTCATCTTTTCGTGTACGATCTTCCTCAATATCCACCAAGTCTTCTTCTTCACCTTTTTTACCGGCTTGCTCTTTCCAGTATGCTACCAACTTCTTCAATCGCACCATCTCTTTGGATGATATATGTTTGCTGGGATCATTCACGATCGTTCTCACTCTCGATGCATATCTGAAATTGGTCAAAGGAGGAAAAAAAAAACAATATGCTTTATCTAATGAGTACGAATAATCCATTTTAACACAGCCTATTTGATCTACGTTAGATATGTGGGAATTCATGACTTACAGAAGAGAATTGTACGTCTCGTCCAAATTTGATTCGGCTGGAGACACATTAACAAACATTAACGTCTTGGCATTGCCGCCCAATGAATCGCTCATCAACATTGTTAGCTTGTGATTCCTATAAGGAATATGTTGGTTGCCTGAAGATAAAGCACCAATAACATCACCTAATGCAGAAAGTGATTTGTTGATACTTTGAGCTTCTTTGAGTTGACAACCAGCAGAGCCCGACTTTTTTACTCTCTCAGAACCAGCAAGATCCACAAAACTCAACTGCAATTAACAAACAGAGAATCATAATATTGTAGAAGATACCACCATGGATCGGTGATATGGGTTTAACAATGGAGGGTATATAATTATCTAATAATGTGGATTGTGTACATTAAGGTTTAACATTGTGTACCAGACCAATGATCTGAGCTAACGTTGATGAAGTAAAACAAGATTAATATTACTATATTTCTCTTGGTAGACTAAGCATGAAAATCTTAAGAAACTTCTATTTCCTTAAAATCCCTAAATGCTACTAAATCCTGTGAAAAATGAGTATGAGTCAATAAAGAAAACAACATATGAATTTAGTCACCTTGCCCCTCGCAGCAGACTGGGTTTGAAGATCAATACTTTCAATAACAACCGATAGTATGAGGTGAGATCTTGAGCTTTCTTCATTCATATTTGTTCCAGAAACATGTCGTCGTTCTGATCCTCGTTCAATAATCATTCGCAATTCCTCCAAAGTTGATATAGGAATAGTTGTCACATTCTCTACAAAGACCATTCCCTGAGGAAATATTTTATGCATGAGATCAAACTTACGTGTCTACAAACTAGTTAAGATAGATATATATCACAAAACCTTTGAATCTTTTTTAATCTCTAGCTTCAGGCGTCTTGCACTCTTTGGTAACAGAAGGTCTACAAGTGTGTCTTGATAAAGTTCCACCATATATGCCTACATAATTTTTTGTAGTCAGTTGATGCCATAATCTTTTATCACATCATATATTAGGATGACAAATTACCTTTAGAGAAAATGAAAATCTCTTGCTATCTCTCTTTAATATGTTGAACAGTTCCTTTGTAGCTCGAGGTGTGAGTCCAGGATTGCTCTCATGCCCATATATAGTGAAAGTTTTTCCAGAACCAGTTTGACCATATGCGAAGATGCAAACGTTATACCCATCTACAGCCGACTGCACCAAATACTGTTACAGAAAAACGATATTAGTAACCACAACAAAATAACAGAAGATAAAAGGTAAATGAACACAGTTACATATCAATAATACCTTTGTGTCTTCAAAAATATCATCTTGACTAGCACGCATGTCAAATACGCGATCATATATATGTTGCTTTCTTTTGTCATCTTTCCATGGATGTTCAACTGTAAACTCATCCACAGTTGTCAGCATTTGTTTTTCTCTCTCTGAACTCTCTTTTTCATTTAGAGGTCTTATTCGACAATAAACTCTAATTTTCCCTTTCATATCTACAATTAAATAAAAACGTTAATATAATTCTTTTCTAAAAGCAATGAACATCATTGAACATACTTGAGCATTACGTTACCTTCTATGGTATTATAGTATCTTTTCCTTAACACTTGTTCTTCCTTATAAAGTATTTCTAGCTCAGCAAGTTGGGCTCCCTGCATCTTCAAAATGGCAGCTGTTTGCTCATTCTTTCGGTCAATGTCCTAAAAATATGAAATTGGAATGTAAACACCTCCCTCTCATTTATTTTCGAATTGCGAAAATACATTTTCATCATTCAAACAGAACCAAAATTAAAATAATGAAGAAGACTAAAGAGTACCAATACCTCTTTCATTTCTCTTAACTCCTCAAGTTCTTTCAAGTTATTTTGCAACAGCAGCATGTCAGAATTCTTACTTTCAATCGTAGACTCAGCACTATCCAAGTCTTGAGCAAGGACTTCAAGCTTATTTTCAAGTTCAGAAACTCGAAGCTTTAACACCTTTCTTTCTTGTTCATATCTCTTTTGATGAATTTCAACCTAAAATAATGATATGTCAACAATACGCAAGTATTTGCTACTTCTCAAATTGAAATCTGCCATAAATCTAACAGAAAGAATTCACCTCCTCTTTTTTCTTCTTTTCGATATTGAAAATACTTTGCTCCAATATCTTGTTTTCACTCAACAACCTCTTTGAATTATCAACTGCAACATGCAATTCCTTATTTCGAACTTCTAACTCCTTTTGGATCTTGTATAATATCTGTGACATAAAATTCATTGTCAAAAGAAAACAAAATTGCTAACAAAAAACAACGGATATACTCAATGATTACAATAAATTAAATTAAACACATGATATTCACCTGATTATTCATTTCGGCTAATTCTGATTTTGTCTCTTTACTTGATTTTGTGTTGCCCGACTTTGCCAACCTTGCTTCCATTCCTCGCAGTTCAGACATCAAGGTCTATAGCATATATAGAATAAATAATTAAATAACTTCAACCAAGCATCAAAAGAAAAACCAAAGTTAGGTTATAACTAACTTGAATAGTTGTTCCCTTCTCGTCACACAATGACCTAAGTTTATCTCGGTCTAAGGTAACCTCCAACAATTTTTTCCTTTCAAGCTCCAAACCATTGTGTATAGCTTCTAATTCTTCACGCAGAGTAACTTCTTGCTGATTTTTCTCTTGTTGTTCATCCATCAACTACACAACAACATAAAACATACAAATAGTTCATCAGCATGCAACTCTAAAACAAAAAAGGTCATAGAATAACAAACATTCTACATACGATAACATGAGATACCCTACAATAACATAAGATAGGAGGGTAATATATACTGAAATATTTCAAGACTACCAAGCATAAAACCATGAAAAATCCAACTATAATATGTTATTTCATGTTTTTAAACAAATATCAGCCTTCCCTCTACAATATTCAATTTTACATGACTAATAATAAACAAGAAATTTGTTAGAATGTGTACCTTGTCAATCTTCTTTTGGGACTCTTCATAAGCCTTAGACAAATCTTGCAAACGTTTTTCATACACTTCAAAATTCTGCGGCTTAGAACTACAAGATATATCTCCATTAACCAAGCTATTGGCAGCAGATCGAGCTTTGGAGTAACGACGCAACATGACATCATTTATATGTGTTTGCAAAGCAACACATATTTCTTCTCCCTACAAACATACAAGTTACCCAAATTGAATATCTCGTAAGGAATTGCTTCATAATATAATGATCCACAAATAATGATGTTTGAACCTGTTTTGTTTCAAACTGAAATATGTGAAGAACACCAGCGACTCTCATTTTGAAAAAGACAGCAGTGTTACTGCTGCCAAATTGCATTATGTCACGTAGTTCAGCAGAGTGCAGATATTCTTTCGGAACCGGCCGAAAAAAGTGAACCTACAAGAAAGCAAACAACAAATTCAAATCCAACAACATACATTTGAATTTCAAACAACAATAACAGATTTTTTAAAGTCATAATGTATGACATCTATATTGAGACTAACCCCACGTTTGTTGATACCCAAAATGATTCGCCCAGGTAAAAGACCGATCGGATCATCTATCTTGCGTACGCTAAAAAACACTGAATTCCCGTATGGCAGTGCCTTCAGTATCCGTAGAAATTGTTGTCTAGCATCATCTTTGGTAACGTTCTCCTACATGCCCACATAAACATACGAAATATCATTTTACCATGCCATCTTTTCAATGAGTTTTTATTTGGCAAAGGTATCTAAAAAGGGGAAGACAATATAAAAAAAATGCATAGAGCCATTCCTACCATTGAACGGTAGCGAGCAAGGATATCCAATTCCCATTCACGCTTTGCTCGGGTTATTGCTATTTGTCTCGGCAAAAACCGCTCAAGAAGTGATGTCCAATCACTGATATGTGACACATTGAGAAAGAAAATGATATTATAAAGGGAGGAACATTGGAAAAATAAAGCATCCGACAACTCAAATAAAGTCAATGGCTTAGCTTAAGAAAAATGAAGATACAATTCTTATAATTAAAAAGTTTGGAATACTAACATGCATGACTCTGGACTATTGACAAACCCAATCCCAACTAGAATTTGCAAGGCACAAAGCTGTGCAGCATCGTCCCTCCCGACAGGATAGTTTCCTAGCAAATAGTCATGTTGCAGCTGCATATATGTGTGTCAGCAACGAAAGGCAAGTTTTGTGTGGAAAAAAATGTCACCAATGAAGAAAATGCTCACTTGAACATAGGAAAGTTGCACAAACATCAGATCTGTTACAGCTTCATCAGACTCTCGGAATAATTTTTTTTTAAATACCAGTTTGCAGTGTAGTATCTCTCCTTTATTTCGATCTTTTATAGCTTTAAATTCTGTGAGGAGATCTCCAATATACTTGTTATCATCCAATCCTATATATTCCTCTGCAAGTGCACAGATAGAAAAATGATCAATAATGTTGTATTACTTCAAAATATATGATGAAGCGAGTCCTATGAAAGCATACCATTTCCGGGATCAGATGATTTTGAACTTGAAACAACTTTACGACATTCAAACAAACTAAAGCTAGAGAAAGCTGATAGTTTAATTGTTCCAGCTAGCTCCTGAAACAGATGTCAATGCAGTGAAAGAAGTTTAACCAAAAACAAAAGGGACAAAGGAAAATAAAATGCTTGAACAAGCTAGTTAGAAGAAACGCATTACTAAATCTACTTCCTCAGGCAAGAATATGATCAGCGCTATATTATGATAAAAGAATTCAAGAAGATACCTCAACAGCATCAGACACTGTTGTAGCCATGTCATATGATATTTCTTCAAAAGTTTCATCCAGAAAGAAGACAATGGTTGTGAGCTTTCTACCGGTCAAAAGGGCTTCAATTTCTTCACGACCAGGAGTGGTGTGCCTAGGACCAGCTTTGATAGAGCGCTTTAAAGCCTTCAAAGTGTTCACAGCAAGAACCTGAGCATCCGGTTCAATTGTTGCATCGTGTGCCACATTATGAATATATTCAGAGAGATATCCACCAATATCTTTGCTAGGAGGCATTGAGGACGCACATAAGTACATCAACTCCCAAGCTTTTATCAAGTATTGCCTGAAGTAACAGAGAAGCGACGGGTAAGAAGTAAGAAGTGATACGCATATACTAAGTAATTGGTAGCTGCGGGAAAGAAATAATGGAATGCACCTGTCAGGATTATGTCTAGTCTGTTTGGAGATTTGGGCAAAAAGTTCGTCCCTGAGTTCAACACGCTTCAAAGTTTTTTTGAAGAGCTTTCCAACGAGGTCAATGCGTTCATCTAAACTGGGTGGCGTTGATCGGTCAGATGAATCAACGCCCATATATTTTAAGATGAGGTGAAACAACTTGGTAGCACGGCTGACGAGATCGCTGTTAATCTTGAGGAGAGATGTGGGGATGGGATCCTGAAGGGGAGAGAGACATTTTAGCACAAAGTCAATGGATTGTCATGTCAATGGGGGGAAAGAAAATGTCGACAAAAACCTTCTGAAAGCAAAGCATATCCTCAAATGTGAAGCGCTCGCGGACATTGGAGCCAGAGGACTTTTTAGAATAGAAGAAGCCACGCTTGCCAGCAGACTGGATTTGCTTCTGCATAAGCCGCAGAAAAGCTTCAACCTGGAAGCGATCGATGAGGGGAATGGCGGCAGCAAGCTCGGCAGGAATTGACAACGCCACTTGAGGAGCTGGGGAGCTGCGAGAGAGAGAGAGAGTAAGAATGTTTGTTTTCAAAAAATTCAGAGACAGTGAGAAAGAGAGGAGAAGAAGAAGACTTACAGAGGAGGAAGAGAAGACGACTCGGCATCGAAATCGGTCCCAGTGGGGTTGGGAACATAAAAGCAAGAAGAAACGTCGGTGGCGACTTCGGTGCCATTGCCGGAGCTCAACGAAGAATTACTGCCTCGTTGGCCCTCCATGTCCGAAGAAAAAAGAGAGATTGTAGATCTGAAAGCACAAATTTGCCCAGAAAATTTGGGCAGAGAGGGAGAAAGGGAGAGACGAGAGTCACGGGAGATTTTTAATTGCCTCTTCTTTCTCTCATTCAATACTTGACAATTCAGCTGGACTTTCTTAATTATTTTTCGTTTTTTAGAAGATGAGAGTTAATCCAAGGAACCAAATAAATGAACAATGTCAAAAGACGTGCTTCCACGTCCAGTGGCCATGGTTGTGCCTCCAACACCATTAACAAATCTGCTTTGCTTTGGTGTCAATTCTCAATACAATAATGCTTTTCTGTAATGTATGCAAGTCCTATTCAACACAAGTGTTGTTACATTTATTTTCTTTTTTCACACAGACACTAGCTAAACAATAGTGCTCGCTCACTTTCTCCGCTTCACAGCTTTGCGATCGCTAAAGCAGGCAAGTTGTTTCTTGGCGGAAGCTTTAGATCCTCCCATTCCTCTTCTTCCTCCACTCTCTCGAAGTACTGCTCTACCATGCTATCCTTCATGTCCTCCAGTCGCCTTGGCTCCCACTATAATTTCAGCAATACTGCACTATATCAACAATGTGACATATACCCAACCACAAATTACCAAATGGAGAGACTTGTAAAACCTTTGGGTTCTTATCTTTGTCTACCAATATGGCTCTGCACCCCTGCATATGTAAAACATGCTGTTGTAACTATGGTCTACAACAAGGACGGTTTCAAAAGGACAATACATTCGGGGAAGCTTGCAAAACCTCCACAAAATCTTTGCTGATTTCTCCCTTCATCACATGACACACCATTCTATACTCACGGATAAGACACTGCCCCACCCCCTGCAGTCGCCCTTCCCTTATCTGAAATATAGACACACAGTCAGCTCTTTGTCATCATTGCCTGTGATTCATTTTGGGAACTAACCGATCTAAGAGAGATTTTAAGGCTTGCTGGTGAAGCCTTCTTCAATGCTTGAATGGTAGCTGAGATCCAACCATCTGCTTCTTGAGTGGCCTCTCTCTCCTAAGCAACACATATGATGGTAGAGTGCATTGTCAAAGGTAAATCAGTCAACTCAGGATCAAAAGTAACCATATCCTACATATAAATGAAAAACTTACAAGTGCAGATATAATTTCTTCAACTGTTCTCCTTGAGAAGCACCTATCAATAACATCTAACCTGTGAAACGAACGGAAAGATAAGAAACAGCTGTCCTCTGCACTTTTTGATTCGTACAAATTTTCAATTGAAGATCTGATGAGAAATGAATTCTGTAATGAGCGATTGAAAACCCGACAACAATACAAGATTGAAATTATACAAACATGTGATGTAATCATGATCAATAACTGAGCAAATGTTTGTAGCCAATGACCTGGAATAAGCGTGAATTTGGCAGGGAAAAAAATAAAGATAATTCCGCAAACTCATGTAAAATCATTATTAGGAGAAAGAGTAAAAGAGATAAAATCATATAGACTTGCCTGTGGTAAGCACTCTGCGGTTTCAGGCGCGGATGCTGGGTGTATGCGTTGAGAATTGTTGAGGCAAAGGTTGGATCATTTGAACCAACTCGGCAAAGATCTGCTTCTAATGCAGTCAACCTCTGTAAAAAGGAGTAACCTTACTAAGCAACAATCCTTGGTGAAGCAGATAGTGCTTGACACTAGTAGCTATACAATATCCGATATGTTAAGTCATTCAGAATGTCTAACGAAATAGAGTAGATTAAGAAAATTTACAGGCCGCAAGATTTGATATGGACACTAATATTTTATAATTTTCAACACAAACCATCATGGCAGAGAAAATAAGCACGCTGAACAAGACTGCCCCAAAACCCGACATATGTTTTTAGCATGTCAAGTTACCATCCTGCTGGCAATGGGGAATACTAAAAACGTAAGCAAAGGAAGTTCATACCGTTGAAGGCACAAAATGAGTTGCAAGGCCACAAGCAAGCATTTCAGCGCCATCTAATCTAGCTCCTGTGAGGCCAACATACTCTCCTAAACAAGAAGACAGGAAAGATGAGAGAGGGAACCGCAATCATTTTCAAACTTTTGTGGCTCTAAGAAGCCTCAATCATTAGCAAAATTTGGTGGCTTTAAGAAATGTAAGAAATATAACTTTTGTTACCAAAAAATCCAGGGAGCCTTGACAAGAAGTAGGAGGCGCCTACATCTGGAAAGAGCCCCAGAGCTGTCTCAGGCATGGCAAAAACCTTGGAGAAAGTCGAAAGATATGAGCATATTTTGGAGCGACCTATTTGTCATCCATGGATATCTTTAAGGAAAGAATACCGTGTTCTCAGTTGCAATACGAAATCGACCATGGACGGAGACACCAGCTCCGCCTCCCATGACGATACCATTCAAAATTGAAACCTATAATTTGTGGATTACGAATTAATGAGCTTGTACACTGGGAGTGATTCACTAAAAGGAAAATATAGTGAGACCTGAGCTTTGCTATATGTGGCCATAACATAGTTGAGCATGTATTCATCGGAGAAGAAATTGGCACCGAGTCTCCAGTTACCTAGTCAACGAAGATAGAGAAAGAGTGTAAAGAAGCTGAAAGTAAGAAACGGAAAAGAATGATCGGATGGGATGGTAAACCTTGTTCGATGTCACGAACAACAGCTGCAACATCGCCACCAGCACAAAAGGCTCTTCCATTACCCTGTGGCAAAGTTATTCAGTACTGTGTCTAAAACGGAAGAGATGAGGATAATGATTACCTTTAGGATGACAAGTTTCACACTAGAGTCCTCCTCAAATGCAAGGAACAGTTGCAGCAATCGAGAGATCTAGGGAAAAATGAGTCAAGCAAATACAGTGTGTATGTACAAGAAGGGAAAGATTCGATACCATTTGGAAGGACAGAGCATTCAGCTGCTTTGGTCTATTTAGTGTCAAGATTCTGACACTCGATTTCTCTTCCACCAAAACCTGTAATCAAATTAATTGAGAGAGCGAAGAATCGATCGTCGTAGATTCGGAGTAAAGAAGAAAGAAAGAGACCTGAGACTGAGAGGCCATCTCGACTGCCATCTTTCTTACTGGTCAGAGTCGCCTTTGTATCCTCCGGACAAATACAAGAGAGAGAGCAGCAACGGGATCAGAAATTTTTTTTGACTAACAAAATCTTCACGCTTAGTTTAGGAAGTTGATATTGGGCCTTATAGTTGGTCTTCTTAGTAATCAGTTGGGTTTTAATAATGGGCTTGTTTTGTTTTCAAATGGAACTGCTTTTCAAATCTCTATTTCAAAGCCCTCTTGCAACATGCAAGCACTGAACCCACTGTTTGAAAAAAGAATTACGTTGTGAAATGTGAATCCTCTCGTGTAGACATAAGAGAGTGGGCTTATAATGGGCCTGATGATACTACATCCTTAAAAACCACATTTAGTTTAAATCAGATCTGACAACTGTGGTCCAAACCCTTAAGATAAAAGGCCAGTTTAAAACCCGTTAAGTGTTTCACATTAGCTTTATACAACGCCACATAAGTTTCAAATCACACAACTGACAGCTACACCAGTCCATTCCCTTATCAAAGGCCCGTTAAAAGCCCACGTAGTGTGTCAGATCTTCCCTTGCTCGATTCAACGCGTCCGAGTCTCAGACACTCCCCGGCGAGATGGAGGAATACCCGGAAGAGCTCAGGACGCCGCCGGTAAGTCTGGTGGCTCTCTTCGGATACTCGGAGCTACACGCGTCCATCACTAAGTATCTCCACTCCCAGCAGCCTCCCATCAACGCTCTGGCCTTTCCCGACTTCTCTCATATCTCTCTCCTCCTTGCTCACGATGATCAGATCAGCCGAACCTCCTCCTTCAGAGATCCTCTCAGCGTCGCCGATTCTCCCTCTCCCAATCCTTCCAGATGCGGCGGCATCTTGAAACGGGACTGGTTGCTTAAGCATCGCACCAAGGTCCCTGCACTTGTCGCGGCCTTCTTCCCCTCACATCACATCTTCGGCGATCCAACTCAATGGCTACAGGTCTGCTCCGATCTCGACAGCCTCAAGTACTTCCTCATCTCCCTTATTTGTTTCCTTGTTTCCCCTCCTTGTTTCAAACCCTCAGATTAACAATGCGATCTCCATTGCTAGATCCGTAATCCGTCCCAAAAACATCAAACTGGTGGTTGTCGTGGTCCAGTCCTCTCCCCATGGTAGCGTTTTTATCCGATTATTCTTTTCATTTCCTCTCGGAACTGGTGACTTACTCCTTCCCGACTTGTTTTTAGAGGAAATTAGCGAAGATCGTCTGGTGGCATTGCGAAAGCGGGCAGAGTTAGATTCTAAGTACGTGCTCTTCTTCAATTCCAGCATAGACTCTGAACTCACACACTCTCTCTCCAGGCATGTTTCTCTCCTCTTTTCTTGTTTTCTAGTTAAGAGGCTTTTCCTTCAATGCATCTCAACACAGATTTGTTTGCAGACTCGCTTCTGCATTTGCAGAGTTGGCCCTTGCTTATTACAGAGAAGAAGGACGGAGAATCAAAAGCCGAGTTGAGAAAAAGAGTTCCAATTCTCTTGATTTGAATGTTCGCTACTGTTTTAAAGTAAGTTTTTTTTGTTACCTCTGCTAAGTCTAATCATTTTGTTTCAAAGTATCTGGGAAAAGGAAGGCTCATTCATGCCATGACTGCTAGGTCGCTGTATATGCAGAGTTTCGTAGAGATTGGGGTGAAGCACTCAAGTTTTATGAAGACGCATATCATTCCTTGCACGAGGTCTTTAATTATCACTAAGTGTTTTGTTTTTTTCCAACCCATCTGTCACGCTAATATGTATTCTGGTTCTAGTCAAGAAGTTGCTTTTGATGCATATATGGTTATTGCTTTCTTAAGATTATGTATCTTCGCCTGCGGTTTCCACACATTCAATTCTTGACGAGCAATTTTGTTTATGCAAACAGATGATCGGGACATCGACTAGGTTGCCTGCAATACAACGCTTGGTCGAGATCAAGATCATAGCTGAGCAATTGCATTTCAAGATATCGACGCTTTTGTTGCATGGTGGAAAACTCATAGAAGCAGTGACATGGTTTCATCAACATAAAGCATCATATGAAAAGGTTGTTGGATCCACAGACTTTATTTTTCTCCATTGGGACTGGATGAGTAGGCAGTTTCTTGTCTTTGCTGAGTTGCTGGAGACAAGCTCAGCAACTGGTCAGAACTTTTCATCCTCGAACCAAGGAACTGCAGAAATATCTTTGACTGAGTTTGAGTTTTATCCTGCCTATTATTATCAGGTCAGTCAATTTTTCTCTATGTAAAACATAGTCGGAACATAATCTAAACTTGGTGGTGCATTTGGTGTTAAATCTTTTCTGTGTCTCTTACCACTTAGTTAATTAAAACAATACTATATAAACATAAACACCTACCTCGAAGCAAATGCTGGCTTTTTCGTCCTATTTCTCATAAATTTCTGAGCTGTCTGTTCCTAGGTACAGTATGTTTAAAATATCATATGTTCTTATCCACTGGAAAATTTCGTTCTATTCGCAGTTGGCTGCTCATTACTTGAAGGATAAGAAATCTGCCCTGCAACTGTTGTTGTCAATGTCTGAAATAGCTCAAGAGATTGATACCAGCTCGGCATCCATTACTCCTTCAGTCTATGTGGGTCAGTTCGCTCAGTTACTTGAGAAGGGAGAAACTCTTACTCTTCACTCGTAAGTTGTTCATAATTCACCCCACAAATCTGTGTAAAAGAAAACTAATTACGCTACCACCCTCTCTAATGGTATGAATTCTAATCTATTTGCAGTATAACGGATGAAGAATACACACGGTATACAATTTCAGAAGCAAAGAGATTTCAGGATTCCCTTGAAATTATTGCTTGGCTGAAGAGATCTTATGAATCATTTACGAACCTTAAAGCCCGGAGGATGGCTGCCCTTTGTGCCTTTGAACTAGCCCGGGAGTACTTTGATTCGGCTGATCCCAGCAACGCAAAATTCTTTTTCGATATTTCTGCTAACTTGTACAGACAAGAAGGTTGGGTAACTTTGCTCTGGGAAGTGTTGGGTTACCTGCGAGAGTGTTCGAGAAATCTTGGTGCTTTGAAAGATTTTGTAGAGTTTTCACTTGAAATGGTGGCACTGCCTGTAACATCTTATGACAATTCTGGGAACTTGAGAAATAAAAATTATGGTCCTGGAGGTCCTGCAACCATTTCCGGAAGAGAAAGTATACATCGAGAAGTTTTTACTCTTGTCTGTCGTGAAGCCGAGCCGTTATCCTCTACCGAAGGAAGTGGGTTCAAATTAGCCACCGATAGCCCTCTTCATCTTGATATTGATCTTGTCAGTCCTCTGAGACCCGTTCTCCTAGCTTCAGTTGCTTTTCACGAGCAAATGATCAAGCCTCGCACTTTGTGCTCTTTTACATTGTCACTACTTTCTCATCTACCTCTTCCAGTTGAAATAGATCATCTAGAAGTTCAGTTCAACCAATCTACGTGCAACTTTGTCATCAGAAATTCCCAGAGGCCTCTGTGGGCTTCTGCGTCTAACACTGTGAAAAGTGGTAGCCAAGTAGAGAATGAGCCATCGCTGGTGCTTGTGCCGAATAATTGGTTAAGGTTGACATATGCAATCAATTCTGGTTAGTGTGATTTAATTATAAGGGTGTTGTTTGTATCTCACACACTTGCACGTATTGAAATTCAAACCTGTTTTGTACGTTTTCGTATTCTTAGTTACCAGTTAGCAGAACTGAAGCTTCAGAACTTGTATCTATCTTATGAAAGCAAAAAGGCAGTGGTTTTCTTGGCTGCATAACTTTTAACACATTTCTTTGTTTCATCTGCAGAGCAAAGCGGCAAGCTTGAGTGTCTTTCAGTTCTTGCAAAATTGGGGCCTGTTTTCAGAAGCTGTTCAAGAGCCGAGAGTCCTGCTGCAATGGAGGATTTGCCTGTCTGGAAGCATGAGAATAGCGTGGAATCTCTGCCAACAAAGGACCCTATTCTTGCAGTATTTGGCCAGAAAGCTACTCAAATTGATGAACCTGAACCACAGGTGGACGTCAGTCTAGGTGCTTCTGGCCCTGCCCTAGTTGGAGAAGATTTTACGATGCCTATTGTGGTAACTTCAAAGGGTCATGCCGTATACAGTGGTGAATTGAAGATTAATCTAGTTGATGTGGGTGGTGGTGGTTTGTTTAGCCCTAGAGAAGCAGAACCGTTTTCTCTAGAAAGCCATCATGTTGAAATCTGTGGTATTGATGGGGCAGAGGGAAACGATGAATCCGAGTCTGAAACAGGGAGCATAAAGAAAATTCAGCAATCTTTTGGGCTGGTTTCTGTTCCAGACCTGAAGGAAGGAGAATCATGGTCGTGCAAACTAGAAATAAAGTGGCATAGACCCAAGCCTGTCATGCTCTTTGTGTCATTGGGTTACTTGCCACATGGCAGTGAAGCCAATACCCAAAAACTTCACATACACAAGAGCTTGCAGATCGAAGGGAAGATGCCTCTTTTAATAAGCAATCGGTTTATGTTGCCATATAGAAGGGATCACCTATTGCTCAATAGGATCAAGCCAGCCCCTGATTCTGAAGACATGTCTTCTCTGCCTCTGAACGAAAAAAGTGTGTTAGTTGTCAGTGCCAAAAATTGCTCAGAAATAGCACTGGAACTGGTGTCCATGTCCATTGAATTAGATTATGAACTAGGGGAAACTTCATGTTTGATTCAGCAGGGTAGTGGGTGTGGAGGTTCCCCAAGCTCTGCTAATCTTGCGGCAGGGGAAGAGTTCAAAAAGGTTTTCACAGTCATACCAACGACGAGAACTCCAAAGCTTGGTTTGGGATCAGTACATTTAAAATGGAGGAGACAGGGAGGTAACATAACAGAGGCATATGTTTCGACAAAGCACAAACTTCCTGAAGTAAATGTGGAGGCATCACCACTGGTAATGAGTTTGAACTCTCCTCCATATGCCATTCTTGGAGAACCCTTCACTTACGCCGTTAGAATCTGCAACCAGACACAGTTGCTGCAAGAAGCAAAATTTGCTCTGGCTGATGCACAGAGTTTTGTCCTGTCTGGGTCTCACAGCAATACGGTTTCAGTCCTTCCCAAGTCAGAACATGTCTTAAGTTATAAGCTAGTGCCTCTGACTTGCGGTGAACAGCAACTCCCAAAGATAACTGTGACATCAACGCGATATTCTGCTGAGTTTCAGCCATCTGCGGTTGCTTCAAGTGTCTTTGTGTTTCCCTCAGCCCCACAAGCCGAGAACGCTAACTCTACCACAAAGTAGTGTAACTTCACGTGACTTGGGTTTTCAGATGTTGTCTATGCAGTTTCAGCCATATGTGGGTTAAGTAAGACATACTGAATCAGTTTGGTAAATTTTGGCCCTGAAGTGTGTCCTCTATGTTGTATTTTCTTCTTTTTTTTCCTTATGTTGTTGATAATAATGGCTATATTTGAAGAACACATACTAGACACATAGGATTAGGATACGCATCTATTTATGGGAGACAATCTGTTTTGAGATTCAGAACACCGACATATGTTTGTGGCAACTGTTTTTCTTTCAATGCAAAAAGTGTGTGTGAACCACATGGTGGTGGGCGAGTGGTTCTCGTTTGGTTGGAAGGATCGCCCTGTTGGTCTAGGCCAGGGATCGATCCTCCCCAGACGTAGTTTCGCTCTCTCACTCCTGTGGCCACTTTGGAATTTACATGCGGACTTGCTCAGGCACCCCAGACCACCAGTTTATCAGGGGGTCCTTAAGTGGAGGCTTAAAAATCCCTGTGACGTGGGCTTAGGCTCAGTGGGCTAGTCAGATCACGGTGTGGTCTGGATACTGGGTTATCAAAAAAAAAAGGGTGTGTGTTTAAAACGACCATACATGGTCAAGTGTTGTTATCATCTTTAAGCATCTCTATTCTCTAGCGTTTTTAGTCGATGCATATTTCCATTGTATTGGGCCTTTTGTATTTGGGCTTCAAATGATCTGCATTTCGTCTCTTGGCGTTGTTGGGTTTGCCTTTTCTCACTTGACCTCAAATCACAAATTAGCAACTGTTTAGATTGGATCTTGATCTCTGGCGGGCGAAGTTGGAGGAGATTGATGGAAAGCCGGCCGGGAGTTTTGGTCGTCGGATCCTCTGGCGTCGGCAAGCGCACCCTCCTCTCTCGTACGCGCCTCTCCCTTTTGGATCCGATTCCTGTTTTACCAAATAATTGTTTTGCACTAATCTAGAGTAATCACAGGATTGCTCTCTGTGGAATTTGAGGATTCATCGGAGTCACCATCTCAAACAGAAGTTCATGGGTACGTGTAGTACCCATTTCCTGAAGAAATTCTTACCCTAATTATCGTTTGAACTTGTTTGTTTCTGTAACATGTGGGCAGCTGGACGATTAACACTAAGTACTACACTGCGGATGTTTCTGTATGTATATCACATATTTGCGATGACTACTCTCTACCCAATCTCCCTCACTCACATCCACTGGTGGCGTTAGTTATGGTCTTCGACTTGAGTGAGGTTTGACATTGATGATGATGATACACGCATTATTATTCTCACCTTACCATCCCCGCATAATAACCCTTTTAACCCGATTCTGTGCAGCTGTCAACTCTTGTTGCTCTTCAAGACTGGGTTTCTCATACCGACATCAACAATTTTGATATATTGTTGTGCATTGGTAACAAAGTAGATCGTGTCCCTCATCACCTAGCTCATGATGAATATAGACGACGCCTTTTGAAGGCAACAGACCCCTCTAGAATTCTGTATTCGGACATTGATGACTTTGGGATCTCCGAAACCGAAGGAAGCAGCTTGTTGGGAAGTCAAGATACATCACTGGATATCAGGGGAGCATGTCTTGAGTGGTGCTCTGAGAATAACATCGAGTTCATTGAGGCTTGTGCCTCTAATCCTGATTTTGACAAGTGTAAGTTCTATATCCTTCCTTCTTCATATTGACTGCGATATGCAGGTTTTTTAATCTGGTTACTCCTTGTTTCTAATCGAATAGCCTATACTGAACTTGTGAAGAGTTCCACATTTATGGATGAAAAGTGGGTGAAAATGGGTGAGCAGAGAATAATACGTATTTGTCTCTTGCACTAATGAGGCTCACGGGTTGGTCCTTGTAGGTTTATCAGTCGATGGGGATTCCCAAGGGGTTGAACGTCTATTTGGTGCTCTTTCGGCTCATATGTGGCCTGGGATGATTCTGAAATCGGGTGATAAGATCAATGATCCGGTGTTAGCTCAAGGGGAAGGTTATTTGTTTCTCCATTTTCTTCTCCCATATATGTAAAGGTTCCTGAAACGCCCTTACCCGGATAAGAAAGATAAGAAATCCTGGTGAGGACTTTTCATTTCCCCTTGGATTCATGTTTATTGGGTCTTATATTTCCTCTCAGAGTTGTCAGAAGAAGAATCTGAATATGAATTGGAGTATGAAGTGCTATCAGCAGGCTCAGGTGATCCATGGGAGAATATCGACGAAAGATGGGTTTCTGCAAGTGAAACGCATTCACATGCAGATGCTGGCGGATCCACGTCACAGGAAAACCTCCATGTTGAAAATAATATGGTGAAATCGAATAATGTTGTGGATGAAGAGCTGCGGCCGTCAGGGTCACAGTTAGAGCCGCAAAATGACACTGACAGAGCAATAGTAACAGATGAAAGATCTTTGGACACAGAAAATGAAAAATGTTATGAGTTTGAAGACGTGGAACAGTTGATGTCAGAAATAGGAAACATCCGAGACAACTTGCGATTGATGCCTGATTTCCAGAGGAGGGAAATTGCTGCAAATTTAGCGATGAAAATGGCTTCCATGTTTGGAGGTGACAGTGATGACGAGGAAGAACCTGAGTGAGTCTGTTTATATCAATTATTGTGGACGATCGATTTAATCCTGTCTTCATACAACTTTTATCAAAATTCGTTTCTTGTTTTGCTATAGATTCTGGCAGTAAAAGTCAGTTCCTTGATGTGATACAAAGCTATTCTAGGTTATCTGGGCCGACCTGTTATATATCTCTTTACTTTGTCTCTCTTACTCTCTAGATACGTATGAGCTCTAGAATACAGCCTTATACAAAAATCCTAGTTGGTAACACTTAGCAAAGCAATTATTGGCATACAGGTTATAGAAAACAAAGACCCAGATGATGGATTTGTTCTGCATTCATTTTGAACACTAATCAATATCATTAGCAGGAACAGGCTTCACAAAGGAGAATTGGTTTCCAGGACTCATAACTCCAGTATATTCCATCTCTGTGGGCTGATCACCATCCCTGACGATAGTGTGCCCCTCTATTGGCACAGGAGTTAATCGCTCAGCCTCAAGATCAGACATACTTTGGTCCTCAAAGTTACTCATGTAAGAGGCTGTCGAGTGACCGGTGGTCTTGGAGCGTAGTAGAGTGGCTCCAGAGGCATGAAAGGCTGAGGTAGAGGTGCTGACACTGTCAGAACCACCAAGGGTCTCTGTTGATGGCTTTCTCGCTTTGCCTTTCTTCTTCTTTGCAGTCATGTGCCATTTCTTCAACGCTTTTGCCATTTGCTCATCAAACACAGCTTTCTTCATGTGTGAACCCATCTGCCCACATCAACAACATAAGATTGTTGCTTGGTTACTTGTTACTGTACTATATAGCATCGTAGACAAACATATCTAGAGATTAGGATAATGTACCTGGGTAACTAGTGCATACAAAGGAAGTGTGATGTAGCTGCACAAAATCAAAGCTCCAACGCTGCATCAAACTTGTTCAGTTAATCGTTCCAAGAGGGATCTATCAATTCGTTTATTCACTACTAGTGAAGAATGAGGTTTACCCTAGAGATAGTTTTACGATGACAAGTTTGAAATCCGTATGAAAACAAGATTTTAGCCCAAAAGAATACTACATGCCAAATTAAGGAAATGTATTAGTTATTTCTATCATTGAAGATATAGAAGAGAATACATCGGCCAAAAGGCAAACTACTGTATTGCGCATAGAATATAGAGAGATGTTGTTACCCAGACCCAGAAGAAGTATGTTAGCTGGAAAGCATTCTATACAAAAATTAAAGAAGAGGCATTTAGACAGGAGTTGTAGCATGGCACAAAAGATGAACACAAGTATATAGCATGCAATGCTAATTTTGTTTGGAACTGAAAACAATGCAAATACCTGAAATAAGGCGAAGTGAAGAAGATGAAGCAGCAACTGAGGGCGATTAAACCAAAAGTACTTATCTGAACCATGCACAAGAGGTATCCCTTGAACAACTGCGTGTCTCTCCGTGATTCCAAGAGCCATTCTTGTTAGGATAGCTTGAAGCTTCGTACTGACAGCTAAAATAATCTGCAAGGGTTGTAAAAATGAGACTTACAAACACAGTAGAAGATTCGCTCAAGAGTATACTTTTCTTACAAGTACAGGCAGGATTGACGCCCAAAACAATGTTTCCCAGCCTAAACAGGAATGGGATAATTTTTTCAGTAACACCAACAACCAATGATTTGGTAAAGCAAGCAAATGCAAAGCTGGCTCACCATTAACATTCAGAAGTAGGAAAATTACAAATGATGCCCACAGAAGAGGACTGCACAGAAAAACTTTATCAGCAATTAATGTCAACAAACATCTCTCAACGCAGTACTAGCTATCATTGTTTTATGTTACGTACCTTATTCCAACTACCACCTTGAAATCGTCTTCCAATGATCTTTTGATATATTTCTGGAAGTCGAACTTTCTTCCCGGAGCTAAATGGGCCTAAAGGAGACTCACCCATAAACATGACATCATTAGTGGAAGGCAAATACAAATTGAGTTTTTCCTTACATCGATGAAGCCATGGCGCAGAGTTAAGTAGTCGGTCCTCCCGACAGATCGGAAAAACTGCTGTAGGAAGCAGCCCTGTAAATCAAATCATATGGTTGAGAGAGCGAGCAAAACTGAATTTTTGCTCAACAAACTTGATGCCACGAGGGCTTGCTAAAGAAGAAGGAAATGCTTCTCACAGCATAAAAGAAGAAGGGGATTTTTGTCCAGAAACTGGAATGTTGTCTGACGAAGGATGTCTCATGAGTGAGCCTGAATCTTGATGGATCTATGCATAGAGAGGAGCCACATTTAGTGACATATAGAACAAGGTTTAATTTAATGAGGAAGAACTCGCCTACCGATTGAAAACTCGTAATCATGAGAACATGTCTCCTGCTCCCACTTTTTCCAGCCACGGATCTGCAGTTACAGAAAATGATGAAGAGCTAGGATTACGAAAGGAGGGTTTTGAGATTAGCAAGTCAGGCTTTTCGTACCTTGAGTCTGCCAAGCATCATGGTGATGAAACTGTAGAGGATATGAAAGGCAGCCATGAAGAACAATAGAATGTGTAGCTGGTGCAAACCCGTGGCAGGTATGAGTGCTTCATGACCCTGCGGAAAACAAAAGAGTGTGAGAGAGCGTAAATTTTATCCTAGGGGAAGCTATAGATGACCTCATCGCAGCGGGAAGAGGTAGTAGCAGCAGCTAGACGTCTGCGGTGGGTCTTGTCTTGGTCATGAGTAGAAGGAGCTGGACAAGGTAACATAGAGGCTGCAGCCTTTTCAGGAATACAAATCTTGAGAATGTACTGCTCTCCGAAGGTGAGCAACAATGAAATGAATCCTAGAATCATCAGCTCTGCATCCATTTCATATATCTTAGTTTTCTTAACCAAAGACAGTAGGAGAAAACAATTCTCTGGTCTTACCGGCCTTTATTTTTTCCAAGGCTTCAAGCAGAGAGTTCTTATGTTTCTCCCACAACCACTGAGGAAGAAAAGATAAGTTAAGAGGGCGGAATTAAAGGAAGAGAGAAAAAAAGGATTTCAGGGCAAACCGTGGCAACTCTGTGAAGAGCCTTCTCGAGGAGGACGGAGACAAGGATGAAGAAGGTACAGACGAGGGCAACGGCCCAGGTGGGAGTTTGGGAGAGTCCTTTCTCTTTGCCAGCGCCCGCAGAGGAAGCTCGGGCGCAGCCGGTAAGCAGCTGAGAGCAGAAAAGCAAAGTGGTCCAAATCCAAAAGCATCTTGTGGCCATGGCAGCCAAAGAATAAAATCCCTTGGTCCTTGATTACGTGAAACAATGAAGAGGGCAGAGAGACTAACAAAAACATAAAAGAAATAAATGCGGTGTTGACTTGAACGTCCGTTTACCGTGATATGTTATGCATAACAATAAATTATGGGAAGAGAGATCAATCATCAATATTTGTTTGACACTGGAGGTACTTGAAGACAACCTAAATCAACCTAAGAAGTCTGTATGTGTCTCCTTCATGTCTCTATTCACAACCCAACGCTTAGAGTCAACAACAAACTAATGTCACTGTTGTGGCTCCATCAAAAACTAAATAGGAGTGTTATTTCACTTTCTTCTCTCACCAACACAAATGACAATTTAATTTGATTCCCTATGGGGTAGAAGAACAGAATCGTCCAACACACTCATCAATCCTTATTGACTAACTTGGTTATGCTTTTATGATTGCTTTCCCCTTTTAGTTTTCTTTTTTTTTTGGAATATGTATCTCCGCTTTTAGTTAAAATATCCCCAACTGGCAACTTTAGGCCATCTCCAATGGGGAGAAAATTGAGCTTTCATGAGAGGCTCTCTCATCAAATTGTGAAAAAAAAAAAAATCAGAAAGGATTTATTTTGAGAGAAACAGCTCTCATGAGAGAAATCTTGAGTGGTAAGAGAGACGATGACGTGGCTTATTCTGAACCGTCGATTGTTTTGATCAAAAAAAAAAAAGGGGTAAAAAAAAAAGCAAAGTATCGAAACTCGATTTCATTTCCGACTCTTGTCTCTTTTTCTTTGCGAGACGCCATCATCGCCTATCTCCGCCAAGGGGAAGTCAGCGAAGTCTTTTGAGCAAGATCTGATGGAGATGCAGACTATGTTGGAGAAGATGAAGATCGAGAAGGAGAAGACGGAGGAGTTGCTTAAGGAGAAAGACGAGATTCTGAGAAAGAAGGAGGAGGAGCTAGAGACGAGAGACGCTGAGCAGGAGAAACTTAAGGTGGAGCTGAAGAAGCTTCAGAAGACGAAGGAATTCAACCCTAACATGGTATAATCTCTAGATCTAGCTTTTGGTTCTCGATTTGGCTGGGTTTTTGTGATTAGATTGGAATTTTGTGATTGATTCATTTGAGATTTTGGCTCCTTAGTTGAAAATTGAAGTTATCAAAGCAGTATATTAAATTCATGGAGGCGTATTGATTTAGTGAATTGTCTGATAATTTCTGCAAATGTGAGTTTTAAATTGATTTTGTTCGTCCACAGAAGCTTCTCTATCTGGCGTTGAGCCTTTTATGCTGAAGATTCATAATGAGATTCGGTGAGTTGATGCTACCATTTTAGCTGCTGTTCGTCAACAGGTTAGCTTTGCTTTTTGAATTTATGGTGAACATTTCTCTGAGCTATGATTTAGCTTTACAAAAGTTGTTCTATTAATTGTTCTTTGTTCTTGATTTGTTGTTGTTATGTTGAAATATTGATATATGTCTCTGAAACTAATTCTTGGTTTGGTAATGATTTCCCCAGGGTAGCTCGGGAACTAGAGCTAAAGAAAATCTTACTTATGCTACATGTGCTGCTGAGGTTAGTCTCTCATAGGTTGATTTGTATTGTCAAGATGTCATTTTCTTCTTTTGTTTCTTTTATCAGTCTGCCATTTGAACACAGGAACTCTCTCATAAGATACAAGAGATAGAATCCAAAGCTGAGCTGACTGAAGCAATGGTTCAAAATATATGCCGCGATATTAAAAGGTTAGATTTTGCAAAGAAGAACATAACCACGGCGGTCACTGCCCTTAGTCGCCTCACAATGTTAGGTAAGTTATCAATATTTTACTCTGGTCAAGCTATCCTGAAATCAGAATGATAGCCAAGAGTATTGAAATAAAATAGGGGTTCCAAGGTAGGCATTAGGCAACATCAAACTCAAACATGTAACATGATGTTGCTGGTTAGCCTGTTAGTGAATTTATTTTATTCTTTATGTAGTAACCAAATGTATGCCATGAACTTAGTTAAACTTGACTAATAAGTACACCATTCATATGCTCATTAATGACACTCGATGCAATGTTATGGCAGTCTCTGCGGTTGAACAGCTTCAGGTGATGACATCAAAAAGGCAATACAAGGAGGCAGCTACACCGCTGGAGGTATCTTTTCTTGATTCATTTTTTGGTTCAGTTTAAGTTGGTTGTAGTTCAACTTTATTTAGCTTTTCTTGATTCATTTTTTGGTTCAGTTTAGGTGAGGTTAAATGAAGTGGTTGAGTCTTTTCTCACAAGTGGAGAAGGCATGATTTAACAGCCTCTAAATCAAGGTACAGTTCAAAGTGGTTGTTTCATTTAATTACTGGTTTGTGCAATGTGATTAATGCTTGGTTTGTGTTTGATTAGGACAGTTTTTGCTTTTGTAAATGTTTTCTTTGTTCTTTGAAATAAATGCTTTCTAGTTGGAGTATTGTAGGTAAAGACAATTAGTGTCTTTACCTTGGCATTCATTGCTAATACTTCAATAAGTTTCAGTCTTCTTCTTTAAAACATAATCACGCTTGAAAACACAAAACACAATCACTTCCTTTAACACAATCACTTTCACTTCCTTTAACCTTTAGCCTAACACAAAACACAATCACTTTCACTTTCTTATCTAAAAAATGGATGATATGAATCCATTTTATCACTCATCGGGTTTCATGAACCTATTGCAAAGTCAACAAGAAGACATGTCTCAGTTTGCAAGTGGATCAACTGAAGTCCCAACATTTAGTACTCAACTGTCTGAAGAAGGAAGTGAAGAAGAAGGAAATGAAGCATCAGATGTCAAACCAAAGCAAAGTATATCACGAAAGAAATGGACAGCAAAAGAAGATATTGTTCTCGTCAGTGCTTGGCTTAATACAAGCAAGGATCCTGTGATTGGTAATGACCAACAAGGTCAATCCTTTGGAAGAGGATTGCAGCATATGTTGCTGCTAGTCCTTCCCTCGAACCGATGCCAAAGAGAGAGAAGAAGA